CTGGACTATGCTACAACTTTCCCTTAAAAATTCAATGTTTTCACCGCCTATATGTAAATGTATAACATCTGTTTATGTTGCTTTGCTGTGGTAGGTTTTTTTGATGCCTCAAATCGTGCCCTGTCTAGGACACGGCGTGAGAGATCTTTTTTTTATACCGTCTCTCCTCATGTTTTCTTTCTTTTTCTTATCTAAGCAAAATATTATTCTGAATAAGAATAAGAAGGCCGCGCTAATTATTTTAGCCGCAGCTTCGTGCACTCCGCCCATCTTCGGACGACTGTACGTACATATTTGCGATGTATCTCGGTGCAATGCCAATAAAGTTTATTCTGATTCTGATGTTTACTCAGAATGCACTGCAGCAACCAGCTCCTCCCAGCTGTCAGCACAGTGGTGGAGGGCTGATGGTTTGGGCTCCTGTCAGTCACTGAGTGGATCAGGAACTCCTCTGCGAACCAAAGGCTCTGAGTCGAACAGCTGAAGCTTGGACCAAACTGGGGCCAACAGGACAATGATCCTGAACACAGCAGATGATCTCCAACAGAACGGTCAAACAGAACAGAACCAAGGCGGTACAATGGTCCAACGTACAGAACCTGAACTTGACTGAAACACTGTGGTGGGACCTTCAGAGTGCTGAGCAGAACTCTCAATGAACTGAAGCAATGCTGGAAAGAGTGGGCCAGAACTTCTCCACAACAATCTGCTGCTTTAATCAGAGCTGGAAACAGTTTTTGTCAATAAAAACACCTAGGTGGAAACAAGTTTGAGTTTTTGTTGACTTGAGGTGAAAGTTGAACAATTGTAGAACCTGTTGAGGACAAGGATTCATTTCATTTTATCAAAATTTGTAGAACTCTTGTAGTAGAGTGTATTTCCCCTTTCTCAGGACTCAACAAGTTTACAACATTTAATCTTTAAACATCCTAAAATCAGCTGTCATAGTTGTATTTTAATAAACCCAATCCAACTTTCCATTCTATGAAGACCCGAGGGTCCTGGAAGTTTCTGACATCTGTGGAGTGTTGAGTCCAGTAGTATGAAAACAAAAACACATTTTTGTTTTCTCAATTCAGTTTATTTATAAAGCGCCAATTCACAACAGACGTTGTAAAAGTTATTACTGTACAAAAACATTAATGTAAGCATTAGTTAATAAAAATTATCTGTAAAAGAACCAGCAGGTTGTGTTGAATCTCCACTTCGTCACAACCTGCCAGAAACATCAGTTTGGTCTGAAGTTCTGTTAGAACCCACCAGACGTCGTTTCATGAAATCACAAGTGAGGCTGAGGCCGCAGTGCACAAACCCCAGCATGACTTTATGACCTTATTTTGTCCCAAAGATGAAGAAAAGACTACATTCATAAATTAAAACAACATTTATAAAAAAAAAAGATCTGAGCAGGGTTTATGAATATCTAGAATATTTCTTACCACAGGTAAACACCAGGCTGAACAGAACATTTAAACACAGGAACTGGAATAACACACAAAGCTGTGTCTGAGCGCAGAACTGGACCTTCAACAGGTCCAGCTCTTTAAAATGCTAAAAGTTTAAAGTCCAGAAGGATGGAGGAGCGACAGCATTGGAGAAAACATGTCAGGACAGAGTCTCTAAAGGCCCCCTCACTTTATTATGCCCCATCATGCTGGATCTTAGAGTCCACTTCACGATGAATTTCATGGAATTTCTGTTTGAGCAGTAGGGCTCACATCCAGTCAGGTCCCAAACATCTGGACCAGCAGCTGCAGAACTCCTCATCATGAACGATGCCTCTCATCTTGTAAGAACATCATCCAGGACGCTCCTCAGAGTCTGTTACAGTTCTGAGGAGAAGGTGAAAGTCCATTGATGCTAACTCTCCTGGACATCTGCCCCTGTTCTAGAGGACCAACCCCACCCTGCAGAGTCTGGGTCAGGCTAACTTGGGCAGTACTGAAGGAGGTTATTCTCCCACTTCCAGCAATCTGAAGGTTGACGGTGGTGGCATAACTGGCCTTCTGGTTCCCTTGTTTGGAAGGAGATGAATGGGTGAAGGACAGAGGTGAAGACCTGAGGGGTGAAAGGGACTGGACTGAGGGTATCAGGGGTGGTGTGGTGACCTGAGGCGCTCTCTGGACTTGGAGCTGGGGTATTTGGGATGGCGGGTTGACCTGAGCCGGTGTCAGACCTTGGAGCTGGTGCTGGTAAATGTCGGGTAGAGGAGAGAAAACCATGCATGAGGGCGAGAGGTTCTGCTTATGGGGGGGCTGGGCTACATAAGCACAGATCAGCTGACTGCGATAGTTACCTTCCTCTGGTTCTGGGTCACCCCACTCAGTCTGGCTGTCTGATGGATTGGGGGAGGTGATGAGGGGCAATGAGGACAAAGGAGAAGGACAGGGGGTGAAAATGGGGGGGCTAATGCTAGTTTCAGAGTCTTCAGTTCTGATGCATTTGTTTGAAAGCTCTTGAACACCTGACCAAGGAACATTAGTGAAATGCTGTCCACCTGGGGTGCCCTTATCGGGGGTAAACTTGCTGGGCCAGAGTCCGGTGCCAGGGCTGAGGCAAAATGAGGAGTTGCTGTGTGTGGACCACCCACTCATCGGACTAACTGGACAGAACTCCTGCTGGTCAAAGGATCCTTGGGTGCTACTGCTAAAGCCAGAAGACCTTCGGCCGCTATCTTCCCAAGAATGATAGAGTCCATTCCCGTTGAACTGACCAGGACTCGATAATCTGTCTTCCAAGCTGGAAGATAATGACCTGCGGAGATTCTGGGAGGTAAGAGTACATGATCTTGACAGGGAACTTCTCCTTGAGAGACAGGAAGAGGAAGCAGATGTAGGTAAAGGTGAAATGTTGTGCGTTGGTGAGCCTAAAGCAGAAGAAAAGAATGGAGAGGAGGAATTATATCGAGAGGGCCTTGGTTTTGGTGTTGCTACATCGTTTGTCCATACTGACACACCAATAGGAGGAGGGGAAAGGATCTGCTGTCTCCCATCTGAGGAAGAATCTCCAAATGCTGAACCCGCAGAAGCAGCCCTGGGTAGATCAAAATGAAGGTCTAGATGGTTGTGGGGGCCTCTAACCCGTGTACTGCGAGGGTGGGGAGGTTTGTTTGCTAGGGAGGAGGAGTAATTATGTTGAGGAGGTGGAGAGCATAGACGGAAAAATGATCCTGGGGTTGGGGAGGGAGATGGAGATTGAACTCGTGAGCTGGGTTCAGATGCTGAAAAGGGCCGTGCTACACGGTTGTGAGACCCTGACCACAGAGTAAAGTGGTTCTGTTGTGGTACTGGAGTGCTGCCTTCAAACACTGTCCAACCACTGCTACAAACAGAACCACTGGTGTTCTTTAAATGACTGACAGGTGTTAAACCAATGCTGTTGTTGTTGTTGTTGCCATTCTGTGATGAACGGCTATTAGAGTGAAGGAATGAGGGTCGAGGGGAAGATGTGGGGGTGTAGAGAGGCTGATGAAAGCTTATAGATGGAGCCAGAGGAGACTGCAGAAAGGATGGAGATGGACATGAGGACTGCAGAGACGATGGAGGACACTTGTGATGTTGGAATCCATCCTTTGTGCATCCAAACTTGGAATAGGATGGTGCACTGGTGTCCAGTTGTAGGTGGGGAGTGGAAGAAGGACTTTGATTGACTGCCTTTATGGGTGGGGCTTGTTGCCGGGCAGAGCTGCTTTTAGCTATACACTGACTGATTGACTGACTGATACAAGACACAGCTAAAGATCTATTAAATGCAGAGGAGGAAGTGGTGGGAGATGAAAACGGTGAAGGACGAACAAAGGAAGAGGAGCCTGTTCTCGATGATGAAGACCTCTCAGATGAAAGACAGGAGGGAGATGGACTTTTTCTGGTGGACACAGAGGATGGAGGTGGGGATAAACAGGACAGAGCAGTGATGGTCGGGTTTGAGGAGGCTGCAGGAGATACAGGGGTGGGAGAGGATGCTGGGATGACCCTGAATGGTGAGGTGGGGGGAAGTTTGGGAGGAGAAGGTGGCTGGTGTGTGGGGCTGGGGCTGAAGACTAAGGGAGCAGGGGTGGAAGTCCCAGAGATGAGGGTGTTGGTGGAGAATCCTAGAACTGGCTCATCTGGCTTCCTGGAAATGACAAAAAGACAAACTTAAAGGAGAAGGGGTTATCTCAGCCACAATACTGCAGCCAATAAGTCTTTTATTTTTAATTCAATAAACCAGACTTCACAAAACCACGCCTTTAAATTGTTTGAGGAAAACTATGGAACGTGTAAAAGACAAGTATGACAGGTGACCAGGTCTCTGCCAGATCAGACAGCTCCCAGAAAATAATAACCTAGCAAAGTTCAACACTTTGAGGTACAGGCTTTCTGGAGATCTCTCAAAGCTCTGAGGGAGATTTGGGTGATTGTATTCTCCAAGACTACAGTTCACAAAGCACAGTTAGCACGCTAGGCTTGGTCTGCTGGGTGACCTTGAGAAATTTAAAGAAACTGGACCACCCTAAAAGACGATCTCCAGCAGAGGAAATTCACAAAAGGCCTAAAGAAGGATCTGAGAGACTCATTAACCTGCAGTTGATCATCTACTCTACTGGAAGTCCATTGTTTTAGCAAATATATTTGAGAATCATTTTGAAGAGCTGCTTGCTGGTATCTCCTGGGAGCATGACCCACACTGGACCCTGTATCTTGCCACTACACTCCACCCCAAATCCAAATACTCTGTTGCTGAAATACACCCAGGACTCTGATATGCTTCCACTGTGATCCAGTAAGAACCCTGATCTCCAGCCACCAAGTTCATCCTCTAAATAACACTCAGGTACACTAACTGAAAATAAGAGAAAATCTCTGAAAGACCTTCAGAAAGTTTGGAAAGCTGTTGACCCAGACTAGTTAAACAGATTCCAGAAAAATCTGGACCACTGGAGCAAAATCTAAATCAGTATTGTTTTAACAAGTGGTGTGCCAATCCCCCGTCGCTGAGGAATTTGGATAGTGAATATTTATAATGTTTATTTGAAAGAAAACTGCCATACCCTTAGATGTAGACATGCACCAAAGTTGAAGTTTGGTACCTTGCTCATTTTGCAATGTATCATTCTCACAACATGCATGGACAAATGTACGGACAGAGGGTATTTCTAATTCCCCCTCTTAGCTTCACGACAGGGGATCGTAGACTGTGATGAATACAGTAGTTCTTTGTTGGGTTTGGACCACAGTGTTGAAAGCAGTGGGATGGCAGCAGAGGGATTCAACTGGTTGAACTTTCTTGAGGACTTTTGGTTCAGCACCAGCAGAAGAAGACAAAAAACCCCTGATGGGATTCAAAGCTGGGAAGCAGCAGGCAGTTCTGGTAGAGTTTTACAGGATTGTCAAACTGCACTCTAAACGGTTCTGTTGTTTTTCACCCCCTTACTAAATAAACCAGATCTGGTCTGAAGCTTGACATTAGTTTCTTTGTTTGTTGGGTTACAGTCACATAAAACTATGTGCTTTTCAATTTGACTCGTTTAATTACTTCCATACCTCTGATCTTGATCGCTCCATGTTCCTAAATGGCTTCTATCTTGTTTGTATTTTGAAACCAGCATAATTATTGTCGGTCAATTTGTTGAATTAATGGCTGCAAAGCATAAAAAATTAACTATGCAAAAAGCAGAGCTGATAAAAAGATCAAAGGTCATTGCTGGCTGTGGCTGTATGGTTAAAACTACAACAGATCCATGATGTTGTCTAACACTTGTGATGTGGATTATGTGGCAGAAGGCAGATTTCCTGCTGACAGCTAGCCAAAACAATGGCTGCAGCATTGGTACTGGTTGGTATGAAAGAGAGAGAGAGGAGCCCCCAGGCACATCTTACACAGAAACTGCAATTTTACTATAATTAGTTGAGGATTATTATAACCCCAAAACACTAACACATGACACAAACATCTTGATACGTGCTCAATAATACAGGTAGAAAAATCTAAAAAGTTAAATCTGGTCTATCATGAGAAACTATCATGACAAAGTTATGACACTCCTTAGTGACTTAACCACTTATGAGCCACTGAAAAGAGATCCAGGAAGTGGTTATAAGAAGAAGTTGATAGATTGCCTGAAAATTTTGGAGCAGGACAAGGCTATTGACCGTATTCTGTACCACAGACTGTACACAGGGGAGGCCACACCTAGTCTGTATGGTTTACCTAAAATCCATAAACAAGGTGTACCTTTAAGACCAATTGTTAGCATGATTAACTCTGTCACTTACAATGTTTCCAAATATCTGGCGTCTGTACTCATCCCTTTAGTTGGCAGCTCAGAACACCACATACAGAACACCATGGACTTTGTGGATAAGGTGAGGGATGTCATCATGGAGACTGATGAAACAATGGTCTCTTTTGATGTCACATCACTCTTTACGTGCATTCCTGTTGATGATGCAGTAGAGGTGGTCAGTTTAAGATTAAAATCAGACACCACTCTGAGCAGCAGGACAACGCTTTCCACAGAGCAACTGTGTCAACTCTTGAAACTGTGCCTGCAGTCAACCTACTTCACATATGGGGAGCAATATTATAGGCAGAAACATGGGTGTGCTATGGGGTCTCCAGTTTCTCCTATTGTTGCCAACCTGTACATGGGGGAGGTAGAAAAGAGAGCCTTGACGTCCTTTTCAGGGACACCACCAAGTCATTGGTTTAGGTATGTTGACGACACCTGGGTTAAAATTAAATCTCAAGAAGTCCAACATTTTACTGACGACATCAACTCTGTGGATAAATACATCAAGTTCACACGAGAAGATGTAAAAAATGGCAGGTTGGCTTTCTTGGACTGTGAGGTCTCAGTCTCTGATAGAGGACATTTGCAAACCCACCCACACAGACCAGTATTTGCAGTTTGACTCCCATCACCCTTTGGTGCACAAGTTAGGAGTCATCAGGACTCTGTATCACAGAGCAGACAGCGTCCCCACTAACTTAGAAGCCAGGCAGAAGGAGAAATCCTACACAAGACAGGCTCTAGAGCAATGTGGATATCCTAACTGGGCCTTCCTGAATGCAGAGAAAAAACCCAAACAGAACTCCAGCCAGCCATCAGGTGAAAAGGAGGAACCCAGACCCAGACCAGTGGTCATTCCATATGTTGAGGGAGTATCAGAGAAACTGAGACGTTTATTTTCTAAACATAACGTCCCAGTGGCTTTTAAACCCCAAAATACATTACGGCAAAGACTGGTTCATCCCAAAGATCCAGTCCCCCGGCACAAACAGAGTAATATTGTGTATGCTGTTCAGTGTCAGGAGGGCTGTGATCAGTCTTACATCGGGGAAACTAAACAGCCACTGGCCAAAAGGATGGACCAGTACAGAAGAGCAACATCATCAGGCCAGGACTCTGCGGTCTACACTCATCTCCAGGCCAGCGGTCACACTTTCAGGGATGAAGATGTTCACATCCTTGATAGAGAGGAACGATGGTTTGAGAGACGAGTAAAGAAAGCCATCTTTGTGAAAAGAAATCATCCATCATTAAACAGGGGTGGAGGCCTCCGGGTTCAACTGTCCCCCTCTTACAATGCTGTTATTGCTAGTATCACTCAGCCCTCTGTGAATAGTAAACAGTCATCAGTGTGCTAATGATCCATTGTTAGGCTGATGGTCCTTCTTGATCATGTGAGCAGCTGGTTTTGGTTGTCAGCAGCAAACTGGTTGATCCACTCTGAGAAGGTGCTATTTATAAGACTGAGCTGAATACAGCACCTCAGACTGAGGAAGTCTTTCGGATGAAAGACGAAACGTTTCTACATTTTTGTTTTGTTTTGTTTTTTTGAATGTCCAGAGGACCAGATTTAACTTTTTTAGACATGACACAAACATTTCTTTATTTCAACATTAAGATTGTAACATTGTAACACTAAGATTGTAGCAAGACTATTTTAGTAACAGTTGTCTTTTTTCTCAGAGGTTCTGGAGAAGGTTGTTGCTGGCAGCTAAATGACTAGCTCACATCAAATTAGCAGTTTGAAAAGTTTCAGTCTGGGAAACTTAATTCTCTCACCTGAAACAGCTATGATTGGGGTCACCAACGATCTGTTGATGGTAGAAGATGCAGGACTGTTTCTTCTTATCCTCGACGTATCGTCAGTGTTTGACACTATTGATCACAATATTCTCCTAAACCGCCTCTTTCACTCTATTGGGCTTTGTGATACTGTTCTTTGGTTCTGGTCCTACTTTTCAGACAGGACTGCACTGCTATTGTTGGATGTAACTGGGACCCTGTGTACATAATTTCGTTCCACCTCATGTACTACATGTGGTGAAATGACAATAAACCTACTTGAACTTGAATTTGAACATTTTTACCATCGGAGAAGCCAAGTCAAAGAATCATACTGTCACTTGTGGGGTTCCTCAAGGATCAGTCCATGGCCCTGCTCTCCACATTATACATGCTTCCCTTTGTTCAAGTCATCAGCCACCATGGAATATCCTTCCACTGCTGTGACGATGACACCTTTCATAAAAACAGACCGTTACCCATCTGCTTCATCCTCTAGTCTACATCACTTCTATCACCACTCTCAGAATTCAATACAAGCTCTGTCTTCTGACACCCCAGTGCAGACTTGGCAATGCCCCCTTCAACCTCATGCAGCTTCTCATTCCACACATCAAAACTCGTTCTCTCTGTTCCAACAACTCACCCCATCTTCAAATTCCCAGAACTAAGCTCACCACTATGGGGGACCGAGCCTTTTGCTCTGCTGCTCCTCATTTATGGAATTCACATCTAAACCACCTGAGGGAACCACAGACTGCAGAATCCTTCAAAAAGGATTTAAAAACGTTTTTGTTCTGTTGTTTTTATGGTCCTAACTGATATTAGTTTTTTTTTTGTTGTTGTTGTTAATTTATTTAGTTTTTATGACTCTTGAAATGTTGCCCTTTGAGTTGTACCAATGTAAAGTGCCCTATAAAGGGAATCATTTTTATTATTAGCCGTCACTGTTTGGCTAGTTCGTGATGATGGATTGGGTTTCAGATCTGAAAAGAAAATTTTAATATGAGTCCAAAAATCCATTTTAAAATAAATTTAATGTTTTGAAACATTTTCCTGGCCTGTTTAATGATGGATCAGAACTTTACCTGTTGACCATCACCTCAGATCACTTGGCAGCTGTCTTATCAGAAGGGTTTGTTTTTTACTCTCAACCCCACCCTTCATCCTCCTCATTCCTTTCTCCTCCTCCTCATTCCTTGCTACAGCACCAGTAAAGAAACTCAACCTTCATCCATCAATCAATCAATCATCTATCCATCCATCCATCCATCAATCCATCCATCCATATCTCCTCCATCCGTCTATTCATCCATCCTCCATCCATTCTCCATCCATCCATTCATCATCCATCAATCTTCCATCCATCCATCCATTTATCAATCCATCAGTCATCTATCCATCCTCCACTCATCATCCATCCATTCATCCATCTGTCCATCCATCCATCCATCCATCAATCATCCACCCATTCATCATCCATCCTTCCATCATCCATTCATCCATCTGGCCATCCATCATCCATCCATCTATTTATCAATCCATCAGTTCTCCATCCATCCATCCATCCATCCATCCATCTTTCCATCTTCTAGCTACTGTAAGATTGAGTTTTGCAGGCAACAGGTCCAGGAAGGAAACCCACACCCCCCTCTTCCAATGACACCACAGACTACAGCAACGCCCTCCTTACTGCAGACGAGGTTCTGATCCGTCGAGTTATAACTCTACAAAATCAGTCATGTTAATATTTTATGATACATTGACTAACAGCATTTCAGTACTTATCAATGTGATTTTTGGGACTAAATATGTAACTGGACCGGACTCAGAGTTTTGTGGTCACGAAGAGCTGGCCTTGTTAGCGTACCTGGATAATAAAGGTTTGGTTGTTACTAGAGGTTTACCTGTTGTGACAGTCAGAAGATCTGCTGGCATTCCAGGACACAGATGAGGCCTGTTCGCTTTGAGAGCTTGGCAGGTCTGTTCCGTGGCTGGTGAACGTTGGGAGGCAGTCTGCAGAGAATGGAAACCAGGGCTCTGTGGATTTTGACATCTGGACTGGTGACCATGGACTGGACAATACCTTGTCCTTTCCTTTACAGTCCAGACTCCCAGAGGAGTCAGATGTCATATCTAAACTCTGTGAAAGTGGAACAGGAAGTTCTTCATGGCTCTCATTTGAAGGCTGGTGTTTCTCTGCTTGCCCTGTGACCCCCAGCATTATGGCCCCTTGCTCTGCCACCGTTTCCTGTGCGATTGGTTCTCTGCTAAGTCCTGGGTGAGACCTCCCTGTGGTGCTGGACTCTGATGGGACTTGACTCAACAGCAGCTCTCCTGAAGCCTCCTTTGTCCAAAGTGAAGATCCAGAAAACAGATTCTCGTCTCTGATAAAAGTTTCTTTCTTATCATCAAGTCCCAAGTCCATACGTTCTGACACACGGTTGTCTGGGTTATTCTGTGTAGCTGCTACATTTAGTTCAAAATCTTCAGCTTCATCTTCATAAATTCTGCACTGTGGTGGACCAGCAGTTCCCTCTGATAAAGTTAGTCCAGATGTTGAATCATCTCTGACAGAGGAAACAGCCTGGGTGACAATGTTCCCAGAAGTTGGGTCTTCTCCAACAGAGGACGCAGGATGGGTGACGATGTTTGCAGATGTCGAGTCTTTTTTAACTGAGTAAACACAGAGTCGTTGGTCCTCCTCCAATCTGCAGACAAAGACCACAATCAGTCCAGTAAAGCATCACATTTAAAGGTAAACAGTTGTGTGTAAAGTAACCAAGCAGGAGATGTTAGTAAAAGTGAGGAATCTGCCTAAGTTCTTGGTCGTTCTCAGTCATCTTTCAGTCTTCTATGTTCATGAACTCACCCGATTCCTTTCTGTTCCACTTCAGAGATTGAAGAAACACGAAGACCTTCTCCTCTCGCTATAGAGCAGTCCTCCAGCTCTGAACTTTGACAGTGAACATTTACAGTCCCAAGTGCTGGAGCTGATACTGAGGGGCTGTTTCTGGTACAGTGGAACCAGCTGGACCCCTGATCCTTCACCTGTGTCCCGTGCTGATGGGAGGATTCTGGAGAAGAAGGTGTTTCAGACAGAACTTCACTCAGAGAGGATGGAGATTCTCCTGGTGTAGTCAGAGGTTTGTTACTTAAAGTGCAGCCCAGGCTCGACTCTTTGGTCAAGGCAGAGATGAAGTCCCTGGGTCTGGAGAGCATGAATCCAGGACAGGTCGGGGTCATATGGCCATACTGCTGAGGTGACACCACTTGGTCTCGTAGATCTAGAAGATTAAAAAAAAAGTATTATAATCTGTCATAACTTCAATTATGAGTTTATTGACCTCAGACTTTTGTCCACAACAGACTTCAGTCCTAAAACAATTAAATCTAACCCACCCTTGGTCTGGTTTTCTGCCTTCGTCATAATCTTCTTCTCCTGGACATCTTGGGACTCCAGGGTCATGATTTGGACCTGCTTCTGATCATCATCTTTGCCTGATTCCTGCCTGGTCTGTGTGCTGGCTTGGCTGTCAGCTTTGGTCTCAGAACCAGTTGCACATTTAGGTTCTCCTTGGTATGTTTCAATGTGGTGCTGTGTACAACTTCTGTCTTGGTTCTGAGTGAAACGTCCAGTCAGTCTGGCACATGTCCATGACTGAGTTCGTACACTGCTGGCCTGCTTCTGATGCAGTGGCACCTTCATGGTGCTGGCTTTGGTGCTGTACATCTGAGCCAGTTTTTGGACCTTGCTTAGAATACGCTCTGAATTCTCCATCAGGACAGGGTCCACCACCGGGTTCGACTCAAATAACCCAATACCAGTGACATCCGAGGCCATTCCTTCAAACAACGCTCGATTAGCAGTCACAATCCTGGAGTGTCGAGACCATCGACCTACTTTTATCTGACTGGGGATACTCCCCAAGTTCTCCTTGGCTCCAGCCTGGTCTCTGGTTTTGCTTTTAGACCAGGTGGCTTTGCTCTTTTTGTTTTTTGGTTCTTGTGTTGTCGAGTATAATGAGGGTTCTGCCCAGCCACTGATGGGTTCTGCTTGGTTGGGTTCATGCCAATTATTAACAGGTTGATCCATAGCACCAGATTTTCCTTCTACGGTGGATTTGGGATCTTCAGAAAGAGATGAACCTTCTTTTCCTGATGAATTTCCATCTTTATGTTCACTAACCACAACAACTGTCTCCCCCTCTGTTTCCTGTACTCTCTTCTCTGAAGATTCTCCGTAGATGTCCTCAGGTCTGTCCTGGATCTCAATCTCTTCTTCAATAAGTCTGTCTGCACTTGATTCTGGATTCACACCTGTTTGAGTCGGAGACTCCTGGTCTTGGATCCCAGTAGACACTGTTGGCTCCTCTGGATCAGGAAACATAAAACTTATTGGTTTATCTGTATCTTCATCACAGTTTGGTTTAGCTGGAATGAACGTGGAACCAGTTGTAGTAGTGGACTCAATGTCCTGTTCTGGTTCTTCACAGTCATGTTCAGACTGTGTGCTCACCAGCTCCCCCTGTTGTTCACCCAAACTAAAGCGCGATACTGACTCTTTCACCAAGCCAGTGGGGATTTGAGAGAAACTGTTTCGTCTCCTTACTTCGTCTCTCAGCTCATCTTCTTCCTGTCCCTCCTCTTCCTCAGCCTCTGCGGCAGCCTCGTAGTAGCTCCGGATCTTTTCGATGATCTTTTTATCTCTCTTGGTGAGGTGAGAGTCATTTTTAGGTGGTTGGTGTCCCTGGATGGGGCGATGATCTGGATCCTTGGACTCTGGGTCTTTGGGTAGGTCACTATTGATCTCAGTCCTTTCTTCTGCTGAGACAGTGGGATGAAGATTTGAAGATGAGGATGGATTAAGGACACTTTTTCTCTCAGCTTCCTCTTCTTCAGCCTCTTCCTCACGGGTCTGTCTTAATGGACTTGTTGCATCTGGGGATTCTTGGAATTCATTTGTGGCGGTCTCTCTTTCACTGATCTGGTTTAGGATGCTGATATTCTCGGTTTCTTCCCCTTCCTGTTCCTGTTCAAGAGGCAGTTTTTGTTCTGGACTGGAGGAGACGGGTGATAGTGGGCAGCTGAAGATGGTCTCATTTGACACAGACCCCATCTCACTGGGACAATCCTGGATCGACTCCTGGAAAAAAAGTGAGAAAAACGTCAAAATGATCACGTCTCCAATGAATTCATCCAATGTGTTTATTTTCTCTAAAATTCTGAGGACAGATTGACTCAGGACTGTCAACATCAACCAGAATACTGTCAAAGAGGCCAAAAAAGAACACGTCAGACATTATTGTGCCCAATCTACGTGTTCTTTTTCAAAACTAGTGACTCTGTTCTGAAGACCCCACAACCTGTCTGTCTGGAAGCCTCTACTAAACTCTGTAATAATGTTCTGCAGTTTTTTTTATCAATAAGGTTGCTACCACATGGGCCTCAGCTTTTGACCTGTCCTGCTTGGTCCCCTGCCTGGCTGTGTCCAATAGATTCAAGCCAGTGACTCCAACCCTTTTAGAGGATGTGGTCAGCCATATTAAGCCATCAAGTTCTCTTCGTGACCTAGTCCCCCCTTGTTTTTTAAAAAAATAGGTTTTCTTCCGCATCAGGCTGGTGATCCTTGCTGTTATTAATAGCAGTCTGTCCTCAGGGATTGTTTTTGGGTAAAAATATCTTCTATTTATCTCACTTACTCAAAGAAGCCACAGTTGATGCAGGAGAAGATTTGTAATTGGTTTTACTTGCAAGGACATATTTTCACAACAGATGTACGGAAGTATACACACATGGAGCCTAGTCACCAGAATCTGCCACGGGCAGTGTGCAAGGCTTGTTTTTACATGCTTATCATCTCCAAGCTCACAGACAGACTGGAGTCCCTGGACTGCCAGCTGCACATGCAGTATCAAATCAGCTTCTCATTCAGCTCTCTGGGAAAGTAAAAAACTCTCTGCTATCTCAAACACATGGTTCATGGGCAGTTAACATTCTCAGCCATAGTAGTTATAAACATCCATAAAACCTTATCCAAAATTCCCTAACAGTTGTCCCTATAAGCTTTAAACATGTGGTGGTGCATTCTCTGCTTAAAAAAACATAGCCTAGACCAAACTGTCTTGGCTAATTTTAGGCCCATCTCCAATCTGCCTTTTATTTAAAAAAATTGTTTACTCCCAGGTCAAGTGTTTTTTTTTTTTTTGGATGAGCACAATATCCTGAAGGTTTTTCTGTCTGGCTTCAAACCTCGGCACAGCACAGAATCAGCTCTAGTCAGAGTTTTAACAACAATTTTACAACTAATGATTCTGGTGAACATGTGGTTCTGGCCCTGCTTGACCTAACCGCTGCCTTTGACACCGTGGACCACAACATTTTAATATCATGCTTACAGCACCAAGTGGGTATCTGTGGTACTGCACTGAGCTGGTTTAGGTCCTATCTGGCAGACAGAACAATGTGTCAGCATAGCTGGTTCTGAATCCTCCTCTGCTCCTCTGTCTTTTGGTGTTCCACAGGGCTCTATTTTAGGTCCCCTGTTTTTCTCCCTTTACCTGCTTCCTTTGGGATCAATCCTCAGAAAACATGGGATCTTTTTGCACTGCTTTGCTGACAATAGTCAGATCTAAATGCCACTGGAAAAAAGAAAATGTCGCTTCTGTTGTGTCTTGGAGACATCAAAGCGTGGATGTCCTTAAACTTTTTAAATTTGAAGGCAAAGAAAACAAAAGTGATGGTGTTTGGTTCCAGTGGCTCCTGTGGACCTCCCCCTGTTGATCTGGGCCCGCTGGCGCTGCAAGTGAAGCAAATGGTTTCTAATTTGTGTTTTAAAATGGACATTGATTTTAAATTAGATTCCCAGTTTGGAGCGATGTTCAAGGACAGTTTTTCTCACCTCAGACAGCTGCTAAGGTAAAGCTAATCCTCAATAAACAGCAGCTGGAAACAGTAATCCATGCCTTCATCACATCTCGGCTGGATTACTGTAACACTCTTTACCTTGGAGTCAGCCAGTCCTCCCTCAGACGTTTTCAGTTGGTCCAGAATGCTGCTGCTCGGCTTCTAATTGGAGTTCATAAGAGGGAGCACATCATACCCACTCTAGCTTTACTTCACATCAACTCCTCTCTGGCTTCACTCCACTGGCTGCCTGTTCATTTTAGAGTTCATTTTAAGATTATTTTTTTGTTTTTAAAAGTTTAAATGGCCTTACTCCATCTTATCTCTCTGAGCTGCTTCACCTGGTCTCTCCTGCTCGGTGCCTCAGATCAGCTGATCAGCTGCTCCTGGAGGTGCCGAGGTCCAAACGGAGGCTCAGAGGGGACAGAGCTTTTGCTATTGCTGCTCCAAATTTATGGAATGATCATCAGATGAGCCCCCTTCACTGTCCAATTTTAAAACTCTTTTAAAAACACATTTTTGACACATTGAGTGTGGAACCACTGGACTGAGGAACGGCTTCTACCCTGAGGCTGTTAGACTCATGAATCTCTGACTAGAATAATCACTGTGAAAGACCATATCATGTTGCTGCTGATCTGTTTCATGTTGCTGCTGATCTGTTTCAATGTTGTTGTGTTCATGCGTGCGCATCTGCTCGCGGACTCATGTTCATGTTTGTGGTGATGTTCAATGTTTTGTGTTATGAGTGCTTAGTGTATATTTAGTTGATGTTTTTCTTAGTTCA